ACATTCATCACATATCAGACATGATGCCATTTGCCCATCACACTTAATATTGCAGTGCAGGTAAAATATATTATACACCATACAATTGTTAATATATGAATACATATATGCTGGTATATGGCAAATATATGATGATACATGACCCTATAGAGTCATACATGGTATTTTCACGTGGGTTGTATCATCTGAATACGGTGACCTGATTGCCACAAGTTTGGTGAGCATCAAAATCCTATTGGACACCAATGGCCAAACTGTTTTCTTGAACCAATACCCCTCAGGATTGGTTCAAGAAAACAATTTGCTAGCATATTTTTCAAATCACAGAATGAGTATAATAACTGAATTATGCTTCTCTCAGTCTATGCCATGGGCTTTTCTCTTTTAGTCACAGTTTGCCCTTGCAATAAAATCTTCAATGGTGGTTGGCATGCTCAGGGCTAGGATGGAACTCTTTTGTTCTGTACACTTCTTTGGGTCTTTCTACAGCACATTTTATATTTTGTGTATTATGACAATAGTCCTAACATCTGGCCAGACCATAACAGTAATAAAATCCCAAAGATTCTTTATGCGTCCCAAAAGAGCAAATCTCCATGAGATATGTATACTAGTATATATGTAATGGACCTGGAATAAGCTATGAATTTGGAAATTTGGACTTCAACTTAGCCTCAGAGTATCACTTCATGTCTGTTGCTCATAAATCATGGTATCCTACCATGCTACTTCAGCTATTCCTTTTTTTCCTTTTAGGTATTTATTTCATAAGTTCAGTATCTATTATATTTTTCCTGAAGGAAATATATGCTGCTTTCCTAACAAACATGGAGTCAATGAAGTCTGGTATACAATAAACCATAATGTTATGACTCATCAGGTTTCACCAATCATTCATTTTCTCATGTTGGGCATCACAGGCTCAAGTGACATTCTGTCACGTTTTGTATGAACACAAACTTTTGTACTTTCTAAATCTGAATAAATAGTTCTGAAACTAAAGCAATGAAATTCCACTGGGACTAGAAACAAGGCAAAAACAAAATACTTCACTGTTAAGAAGAGTCACAGCATGATGGGAATATCACTCTTGCAAATATAAAATGAAGGAAATGGTTCTTTGAATGGAGGAAGATATATAACCAAGCATATGAAGCAAGTTATAATCTCACTTCTACTTCTCAAAAACATCAACTTCACCAGGATACCTGTATACATACTATTTGCCAACTTTGTGCAGTTGTGGTTTTGGTAAAATTGCCATTACTTGATTAAACTCAATGTCAGACACATTTTTTCTTCTGCATGAAAAGTATGACCTTCATCACTGACACATTGAAGACCCATCATTCTTAGCTCTCCATCTTCATCTGGGCCATCTTGCACAATGCAGGCATATCGATACTGTGAAGCACCCCGCTTTCCTCCATGAAACTTTGCAAGTATGTAGGATCCTTTCACCAGGCTATCCATTGTGACCTGATAATCAAGAGGTTCAGCAGCTTCAGAGTTGAAATATGAATCAAATGCGATGGAGTAGTTATCATCAGAAGATGAGGTAGATTCACTGCTACTGAAAGCCTTCTCCACATGTCGTTTTTTTTACATTCTGGGGTCCAGACTGCTTGACATTCAATCGCTTCTCCCCTTTATTATCAGGCTTATGTGAGAATGTGCTAGAACCAGGATCATAGGAATTTGGGTTGTCCAGGCTTCTGGAAGCTTCATCCAAGCAACATGATGCTGATCCAACTTGTAGAGGTAGATGTGTACCTGTCTTGGCTTTCCTTTCCAAGAGGAGCTTTGCATTGAAGGCTGTTTAAGTCAGAAGGGCACTTCTTTCATCACTAAGCCGATTTCTCAGTTTTGTCTTCTGCTGAGAGTACTCCTTGTTGCCCTGCTCAACAGCAGCAGCAGAAACAGGTAAGGAGAGTGTGGATCTGGCTACACATAAAAGGGCTCTTTTGCCACCATGAGCCTTCCACCAAATGAGAGGATCCAGGTCTAATGAGTCAGCTGCTTCCCAAACAAATGACTTTCCAAAGACCAACGCAGTCTTTGCCCTGAATTCGGTCAAGTCTAGTGCCAAGGCCCATTTATCCAGCTTCAAATGATCTGCTACAGCAAAAATTGCTTCTTCACCCTGCATTGTTTCCACTCATTGAGAACTCCCTCCTCTTTTGTATGGCCTCCTGAATAAGTATCTGATCATCAGCCAGGAATGTGCTGATTTCACATGAGGTAGAAATGAATCTCCAAATCCTTGGTACAACAGAGATGGGTACAACACCCTCCACCTCTGAAATAGCATCACTGACTGGCTTCAGAAGTTTACTGACTCCATCTGAATGAAGCCAAAAATTCTCATCACCAACCAAAAGTTCTTGAATATTTTCTGCCTGTGACTGCCTCCTGAATGTATTCTTTAGCACATCCTCAGTAACAGCCAATCTGAGGCAATCCTTGAGGTCCAGGTTCCTCTGAATAATTTCTTCATAACTTGACCATCTTATTGGGCATCCAAGCATGGTAGTTTTCACTGTCTTGTGCTTTGCAGTGGCAATTTTCATGAGTGTTATCTTTGCAACGGCATGTTCCTTGAAAAACCGGCTGATAGTGTGATTCCTCGTGGTTACAGCAACTACATCAAGTCACTATGACCCAAACCTAGAATAATCAAGAGTGATAAATTAGAATCTAATAACATTAATAAGGTCAAGCCCTAAAGAGTTTTGCTAAATAAATAAAAACTGCCTGCATTATGCACAGGACTAGGACTTGGCTACAGACAATATATATTCCAGGGGACTTCAGGATTCAGTGTCTTCCACCTCATGATATAGGATCATTGGGGTCATCCAAATATTCTCTTTAAAAGATAAGTTTCTCCTACCAGTTCTCTCAGGCAAAATGGTGGAGCTTATCACAATAAATGGCTTGTGCAAAAACATAAAAAATTCCTTTCATTATATTCATGAGGCTACTGTAGGGGAATTCTTTTTTCTGTTGATGTCTTGTCACGCACACTGCATGATTGTAGTGTTTCTAGTTTTTTAGATAAACAATAACTTGAAAAACTTTATCACCCCCTCATATGCTGCATGATTCAGTAAGCTGCTAGTTGTTGATATGGGCGGCATGTGATAAGGACTATGACAAAGACTGAAGTAATGAGTAATAAGTACAAGCCAGAAAGGAATACTTGAACAAGAAACATAAAAACTTGGATTTGCATTTGCCCTGGGATTTAGACCTTTAAAAGGAATGGGTATCTAATTTGGAAATTTGTATGTATGGGGACTTGGCACAGATGGAGTACCAATTCTACTGTCATTGCATCAGTAACTATAAGGAGGGACAATGCTTTTTTTTACCTGAAACTGGCACTACTCCAGGCTGAGCCTTCAACACATCCGGCATATCTTGAAGTCTTGAATTTTTTAGTTCCTGGATGGCTGACTAATCCATAAGTTGCTCCCGTTGCAAGATTCCCCCAAAAATGAGTTTCTTACATCATCAGAGCATCCAGGACAGTCTTTCACTAGATGTTTCTGTTGTCTTGTGGCATTAACACGAAATATACTTTCACAATATTTGCAAATTGTAACATCCTTCCCATCCTTTTGACCTCTCGTAAAATACTTCCATAAAGAATGTTCCTCCGTTATCTGGGTAAAAAATATGAACTCATGAAAATCAATTGATAAGTAAGGATATGAAGATTATTGAATGCCAATACATAAATTCTCTCATTTTTATAGACATGTGCATGATTTTCACTTTAAATTCATACTACCTTCAATGTGGATCAATGTTAATGTTATGAACCACATTTTCCAAGGTGTCTATAGTATCATCATGAAAGTGCTAAAAGTAGTGGGAAGGAAAATTCCCTGCATTGATGTACATTGATGACATGATTCTTGGGATTTATAAGGTGAGGCCAGGGACATCACACTAATAAACATGCCGGCTATGGATGTGAGGTGAGTTTGGATCAGGTTTTTCCAGTTCAATCTGATCCATATTCTCAACATTATTGTGGGTATCCAATTCGAAACAAGAGGAATTGATAAGCTAGTTTGATCTGATCAGAAGCCATTACCTGCCTTGCTGCTCTTATCAGCCTAGATCTGATCTAATGTTACATGACATTAAGAATCATCCAGCTGAGAAATTGTCAGTTATTAAAAATTAATTCCCATAATATCCCAATAGACACATTATCATCAGGCATTTGTTACAAGTACATATTAACTCAACTTGCATAGCATGGATTCATTCCCTATTCAATGCAAAAAACCACTTTCATTTCTACTGCAAGTGTGCTGAAAAACAAAAACCAGACTGCAAGAATCCTTGGTTTTGGATTATGGGCCTGAAGTAAGGATTCAGAAACTGACAAAGAGAAGATTACAAACCAGACATGATGCAAAATATGGGAATAAGGGAAGGGGGACTTTGCAATGAAGGTATCACCATATTGACTCATGATCAGTTTCTTTTGATTGAAAAAAAAATTCCCTTCAATCCGATTTAAAATTTTATGTGATATACATGGGTCATTCTAAGCAATAATCCATTCTGAATTTTATGTTTCCTATAGTGTTTTTCACTTGAGTTAGGCAATTTTCCACTTGACTCAGGCTCTCATGCATGAGGAACTTCTCATGCATCCCATGCATGTGTTTCCAGTCAAGTGAAAAAATGTCTTGACTAAGTACACAGCCTATTCAAAACTATCCAAGCTGAACCAATAATTATTCAAATTAAAGTACTAGGCACGATGGCAGTTTTGCACATCGTTACCATATCTTACACATCGATACACTGTCGATAGCGTATCGATGCACCCGGGGGGTTTGGGGGGGGGGGGGGGGGGGGGGGGTTGTTTGGAGTTGTCGTTTTGTTGCTTTATGCAGACAAATTAGAGGGTAGGAAATGCGCCATTTGGTCTCTTCCCGATTGCGTGCTCCGTCTGAGGGTTCCACTCGCCTCGTAGATGGAACGAGTATCGGGGCCCTGATAGGCGGTCCACCTGCCCTGGCCGGGTTGGGGATCTGCCCGCTGAACGGGACCGGCGTGGACGTCATCATTTGCGTCATATCGGCCCCGCCTCACGTCCAGAAGCGGGTGGCGATCCGGAACGCCTGGCTCGAGAACGCCGCCAGGCGGCACGCGCTCCGGCTGGCCTTCTTCCTGGGCGAGTCGCAGGACGAGGACGAGAACGAGGCGGTGATCCGGGAGAGCCGGCAGTACCGGGACGTCGTGCAGTTCCGGATCCGGGACTCGACGGACGCCCTGACGCTGAAAACGATCGGGACGCTCGACTGGGTCTCGAAGCACTGCAGCAAGGCCGCGTTCCTCCTCAAAGCAGACGACGACGTCTTCATCAACGTCCCCGTCCTGGAAAGATTGATCCTCGACCGACCGAACGCGACCCTGACGATCTACGGCCGCCTCGCCCTCGCCTGGCCCCCCATCCGCGACCCCGCCTCCAAGTACCACGTGAGCCGATCCCGCTTCCCCGCCCCCGTCTACCCGAACTACACGACCGGCCCCGCCTACCTGATGACCCGCGACTGCGTCTCTCCCCTCCTCCGCTCCGCCCTCCCCCTCCGGCCGTTCCCCCTCGAGGACGTCTTCGTGACGGGCGTCCTCGCCGAGCGCTGCGGCGTCGGCAGGCGACACGCGCCCGAGTTCCTCAACCTGGCCCTGCCCGTCTTCGACAAGTGTCAGCTGGCTCGGCTCGTCGCGGTTCATCGGATCCGCCCGGCGCAGCAGTATCTCCTGCAGAGGATGCTGAAGAAGGTGCCGCTGCATTGTTCGAAGGGTGTCGGAGGGAAAAGTTCTGAATAATACCGTTCCGTCCGTTTGACCTTTTCTTTCGATCGTCCGGGCGATTTTTCTCCGGAAGGAAAAAACGGGGGATGGGAAGATGACGGAATCGGTCATCAGGCTCGCGTTAATCTTGACGTCTTTCAGGTTATTCGACCCAGAATTCTAGGTTCCTTTAGATGAACACATTCGACCGGATTCACGACGACCTGCACCTTGGCGGAGCGTTCGGCGACGACGAGGCACTCCTCGGGTACATGCGCAGCCGAGGCATCCGCTCCGTCCTCACCGTGGACACCTCCGCCCTCCCCGACTCCGTCGTCCAAGCCTGCGAAGCCTACGAGTTCGTTCACGGTAGGTAAGAAGTGGGAAGTGGATGGCGGGAGGTGGGCGTGCACTGGTGTTATTCTCTCTCCGTCTCGCACAGCGGAGGATGTTCCGACGGAGGATCTCCTCAACTGCTTCCCGGATTGCGTCGGGTTCATTGACCGTTCCAGAGAGAAAGGAGGAGTCTTGGTGCACTGGTGAGACCGAAATTCCGTTTTCTTCGAATTCCGTGTCGCGTTTTACGCCTTGTACGTCTCCCAACTGCTTACGATAACGAGAACTTAGTTGACACCGATGGACATAGCTGGTGAATGGCGTGCAATAGTGATGAATAGGGTTGCTCTGAGTCCCTCTCCCCCCAAAATTCGTCTTCCTTTGACCTACCAGCAAATTCGGAGCGTCGCGAAGCGCCGCGGTCGTCGCGGCCTACCTCCTGCACGTCCACCGAGGGCGCGCCGGCGAGGGCGGGGAGGCCCCCGCGGTGGACCGGATCCTATCCGGGATGGTCGAGAAACGACCCGTCGTGGACCCCAATCCTGGCTTCAGGTCGCAGTTGAAGCTCTTCGCGGATATGGGGTGCGAGATCGATCCGGGGAACCGCTGTTATCGCCTCTACTGCATACAGGCCGCGGGTGCGCGACTCGCAGCGGGTACGTGTCGAAAATTTCCCTCCAAAGCTCATTTTGGACAAGTGGAAAAAAAAAAAATAAGTAAAACCATAAAACCCTTCCTTCTCTCCTGGATGCAAGGTGTCAGCGTTCCAAAGAGGACATTGCAGCGCCTCATCCGGCCTGACCCTGCGTCCTCGCCTTCTTCCTCGCCAGACGCTGGTGTCTTCAGATGCGCCGCCTGCAGGTATCTATTTCCAGTTTTCCTTCGATCCGCATCGATGTATTCTGTGACGTTGTCTCATGAAGTTCATTCGGAGTGATGTAGTTAGCTATTCAGTATTTGGCGTAATATCTACCAGGTTTTTTCGGCAGAGCATCAGACCGCAACACGCTTTTCAGTGTCGAATTTATTCGAATTCGAATTGCACACTTTTTTAAACAAAAATAGCGAAGAAATTTGCTAGTCGCGCGCAATATCATGAGGCAGGCACGAGACTTTTTGGGAAGCATTGTTAAGTGTTAACCTTTCATCGGTGATCCATCCTCTGCCATTATGCGACATTTTGTGGAGCTAGGATGACTTCTTTGGGGTGTTGCGATTTCAACGCGTGTTTCCGTCAGATGTAGGCATACAAATATTTTTAACTTCATGGTTCAATGAAATTGCAGTTGGTTATTTTCACTTTATTTTTCTCCACTGCACATACAGTATAGGGCATTACTTTATCCATTTTATTTAATATTTATTATTATCATTCCCCCCCCCAAAAAAAAAAAAATTAATAATAATAATAATAAATAAATAATTATTTTATTTTTACATCCTATGTAGACGACAATTGGCCCACGAAAGCGACCTCCAGCATCACGAAACAGGCACTGCCATCCCTTTCTTTTGGACTGGGCCACTGGTGCTTCCAGACGGTACCGGTTCCAATTGCCAAAGAGCATGGTTTGTCATGCCCATGGAATGGATGGACATCGGCATCCTCGGGGAAGCTCCTTTGGTCGGGAGGCTCGCCTGTCCCAAGTGTCATGCGAAGGTTGGCACTTACGACTGGAAGTCTGGTATGTGCCCTTGGGTAGATCGTAATAATTGCTTCGATCCTAAATGATTCGAATTTCAAGCGAAATGTGGCCGGGCAGATTCAATTTCTGTGGGGAAAAAAAAACACGAGAGAATGAGGAAAAAAAAATTTCACCTTTGTACTTGGAATAGTTAACAACATACAGCTGTGTGACATTTAGGAGTAGTTTCAAAATTCCTCTAGTTGAACCTGAATGAATTTTGGAATATAGAGATGTTCTATATCAGGGGTGTCAAACTCAAATCGGTCGGCGGGCCGCATTCCTTACCCTCTAGATGCCTGCGGGCCGCACCCATAAAATTTCACTTAAATTTGTGCTGACACTCAATCCATGCGGAAAATTTCAGAAGCGGACGGCGGGCCGTATGTTTGACACCCCTGTTCTATATGGGAGCTGAAATATTTGATATATGTTTTGACTTAATTTCTACAATCATTATTGAATGTTATTTTAAATTGTGAAAAATGATCTAGCTTGAACTGTTTTGACAATTTTAAATAAAATTTTCTTAATAGGAGCCTCGAGAACTACACCAAATTTTTAGTGCCCTAGGACGAATAAATACCATAAAATTTTACCAAATCTTCTGCTATGAGCAACGATCACAAATGTCGCTAAAGTTCCACTGAATCAAATTTCAAGTCTTTTTTTTTTATTGCATGAAACGCTCAATATCCCAATGTGACACGTTCCTAGAAAACTCTTTCCGGTACTCTTCATGTTGCAGTTCAGGAGATGCAGGATTTTACGTTAAAAGAATTTCTAGGCTGACCTCATCCCTCAAATCAGAACAGCTTTATATTGAAAAAAAAGAAAAGGTTGGCAAGATAAGGTTGTATAGTTGTACAAGGGTGAAAGTTTTTATCCATACCTCATGGACCCTGATAGCTATACATTTTTTTTTTAGGAAATCCCCAAATGACCAAGCCACTTGCTTTTGACCAGTTAACCTAGAAAAACAAAAATTAGACAAAGGTAATGTCAATCCATTGAAAGCCTAACCCCATGGATTTCCTCTGTCTTAGGTGTTAAATGCCCATGTGGGGTTCAAGTGAATCCAGGAATCACGTTCAGCAGGAAGAAAGTGGATCTAATTTATTCAAATGCAGCACCTCCGCGGACTTCCCTTTTCCCCTGCTCTGATGCCAGCACCGTGAAAAGATAATGTGATCATTAAAATCATAACAGAAATACATATCTTCCAGTGCCATTGAACTATCACATTTCTTTTATTGGTTTCTTCCGGGATTAAACATTGCACTTCGATGAGCTGGAGAACAAATGCATCAAGAAGTGAAATCTCCAAGTTTTGGAACAGTGAGTCCCAAATACAGGGCCAATTTCGCTGTAAATGGATTTGCCACCTCCTCAACTGTCTCTTTGCTGTCATCTGGCATCATCTAGATGAAAAATTGCAAAAAAGATGTGGTGAGTAAAAAGACAAAGGCATTGTGATCTGGTGAAGAGTATGCAGCACCAGATAGTGCATATATTTATAATATCATAAGTCTATAAGTACAGAGCATGGGGAGACAGAAATATCTATGCAACTTTGACCAAGAAGCAAAGGTTTCCAATTAAAAAATACCTTGAAATTTTCCTTTTTGATTTTTCACATTGTAAAGGGCACCCCCAGAATGCAACACTTTTATTAATGTCATTCTTTTAAATTTTGTCTGAGTTGAGTGCTCATACCTCATATATCCTATAGCATTAAAAAAATTCCATGTCTTTGGTTACATATGACATGAGGATTCCTGTAATGTGTTGTGGGTTAAGAAAGTGAAATTACTCCTCAACATATTGGAGCTCTTGTTCTGATATGTTGAGGACTTTGCACTGTGGGTTTGCAACTGGATGCTAGTCATCTGATTCCTACCAGTACTCCCCACCAAGGTTGATTGGATAATGAATGTCTTACCTTATCAGCAATGTGATGAGTGATCAATCCATCTGCATTTACAAAGAATGTGGAAAAGCCATCCAGCCAACTGAAACAAAGATAACCAATACATAATCATGGATTAAGTGCCTTCCAGCACTTAATGGTATCAAAATGAGGAGAGTTAGCAGGAAAAAACCAGTTATGTAGTCAAGGGAATATGCAATAACACAACATATTCCTAAATAAAGATTCTACAGACTGGCTCATAGGGCCACCAAAGTATCACAAATACACTATCCACTGAAACACTCCTTAAATGTTAAAATTTATTGAATGATTCAGCTCCTAATACCACTTGGATAGTAAAAGAAAATTGGATGAAGTAACAAAAAAGATATGAGATGCAACACTGGTCTTGAATATTAAACCTCAAACAAAATAGTATAGGACATCACTCACACAGACTGATGTTCCTTCATCATTTCAGAATATTTCAGGATTTTGAACTTCCAGAAAAGGGCCATGGCCTGAAAAAAAAAAAAACCAACCATGCAAGTTGAACTATGATCTCTCTTGAACCATCTGAAGATATAAGCAAAATTCATGCATCTATTCTGGACCAAGGAGGGACTTTCATGCTTCACAAAAAATAATCTCAGCCTTTGAAAGTCAGGATATTTAAGAACTGATACTGAAAGATGGTGTGACTTTGATCGTTATACCTTAAGGCCAGAAATGCCGTTGATCTGCCATCGAACCTTGATGCATCCCTCTTCTGGATGATATGTAATCTTCAGAACGTTGAACTTCACATAAGCAAACTTCAAATGTGCAATCACTCTCAGCAGTGCCACTTGCTGGATATACTTCCAAAGTCCTCTGTAAATAATAAGCAAATATAACTTATGCTAGCTCTTACTCAGAATATACAAGTGAACAAGGTATGGTTCATTGGCATCAAAGAGTATCCAGTTCTACTCCTCATGAAAATTCACAGAGCTCAGAAGGAAAATTTTGAGCAGGACTGCAATGACATATCCTACAGCTATTTGGAATATCTAGAAAGAACTTACATTGTCTTTGTGTTTCGGAGCTTATTTTCAAAGACTATATTCTGATGATATATTCTGTAGTCCAATTGCTTGGCAAAGAAGTTCGGGAGCTGAAAGGCAGAAGCCAGCATCCATTAAATTATGACTACCATTCAGATGGCTTACCAGTATAGTGCTTATTCTGTGAGAAATTTACTGCACAGGAGAAAATAAGCCATTCTATGGACAATCATGCAAGAAAATTCAAAATTCTGCGATGAACTAATTTGACCAACCTTTCAGCCCTGAACCATCATGCGAAAAATCTCCCATAAAAAGCAATTTTGCAATCATGTGCAACAAGGCAACAGGCACTAATGCTAGTAATAGTAAGCATACATTTTTGCAGACCAAACACATTGACAAATGACAAGAGAAACAGATAAAAAGCAACAAATTATAATAATGATTGCATCATTAGTGAATCATCTGGTTTTATTGCTGTCATGAGTGGTATTAGGTAAATATTCATTTAGAGTGCTTATTTATCTTCCATAATGGTATACATTTTGACAAACAAACAATTGACAACTCAAGCTGCCAAAAATTGTCTGCCACCACTGGTACCGACTGCAACTTGAAAACACGTATCACCTGTGTTACACAATGTTGTGAACATTGATTGTAGTGTTTTTTCTCTATCAGTTCTTTCCCAAACATGGCATAGGAACGGCTTGGGATAGATTTTGTACGAAAGGTAGGATGCTTCTGCACCAAAATCAACTAGAGCTACACGTTTCATTACACTGTATCTACTCAACATTACAGAAGACAAGGCATAGAATCAACTATGGAAAAAATATGTTCAAAATGTTCTGCCATATAAAAAACACTGAAGAACTTAGAGTACTTTGGTGATAGGTTAGAGCAATATTATTAGAACCTGAACCTGGCCTTTCAATTGTGGAAAATGAAAGAAATACAGGAGTTAATTATTAAACTCCCTATGAACTTATTGACAAATCACCTATAAAAACTGCACACCGACAACATCTGTCATTGACAGTGGAATTCTTTGGGAAAAAAGAAAAGACTATTAGCAACAGCACATGGAGTTTTCAAAATACCACATGCCTAGAAAACAGCCTGGATGGAAGATTTATATTACATGCCAGTACTTCTACATGATAAAACTTTGGTAGGCACCACTGATACATAGTCTCTGAAAAATGCTGTATCATTTCTTTTGCACATGAGCATATTTGTAGCATTTTGTTGCACAAAGAAAACTTTTTTTGGAGGCAGTAATTACTGATGCAATCATAAGCCCATAAAAATGTGCAGAGTGCTGACAATCAAGTTATACTTTGATTCTGTGACTGTTTTGATTAATTGGTTTTCTCAAGACCTGTTCCTGTTGTGTCAGAAGCTTCTGCTATGTAAAAAACCTAAAGAACAAAGGTTAGAGCAATACTATTAAGTTAGGAATGCTTGAAACTTAGCTTTTCTGCAATGGAAAATATAAGAAATGCTTCAGTTACGAAACACCTGTAGGTTTGCTATAGGAATATCAACTTCTAGAGATCTCATGCACATTATAAATCCAAAATGGAATCTTTTCACATAAAAGGCTATATACTACAGCACACTGAATTCTGGGAAATAAAAATCTCATGCCCAAAATGTCAAGTCTGATGGAAAACTTACATCACGTGCCAGTACTTCTTTGACACGAAGGAGCTGGTCAGGTGAAGGTCTACCAGTTGCACTGGTGTTTTCTTGAGATACTTGTCTTTGACTGTCTGACATATGGCGAGCAAACGTAAACACTGGTTCATGACATGACATCAGAGATGAATGGCTTTCTTTCCGTAGCAAATCAATGGGCAATCCATTGGTGGTCAATAAGCTGAAACTAATGGAAGTCAGCTCCCCAGAGTCAGGAGCTGATTGGCAAGAGACAGAAACTCTGGAAGCAAATTCACAGCGAGACAACATCGTTCCTGAAGTTGTAGAGCCCAGACAGTCTGAGGGACTATGCAAGGGAACTCTGCATGAAATCTGCCACCCAAGTCCAAATGGAGTTGATGATTGCTTGGAGGCTCTGTGCTTCAGCACTTTTGAGGCATACCTCTGTCAGGGTTAGACAGTGCAACATCAATAAGATAAAAATTTTGCTTTAACAGTGTAACATTTTCAATACTGAAGTTTTAAAAATCTTCCATATCTTATAATCTTAAAGTCCATATGATTTCCAACTCTTTCTTTGCCAATTTTAGACATAAGAGAACAATTTATCATATATGGATGCACAGGAAAGACATTAGGGTTTCTATATCTATCAACATTGAATTGGATAATATCCAATCAGTAGCAAGAGAAAAGTCACATGAAGCATGGACAGAATAGTATAAGGATTGACTGTGCAACAAGCATAATATATTGAGCAGCTTTGTTCAGTCTAAACTGGGACAATGTAAAATGTTAGGAGTCATATACAAGATCCATTTAAGACATTGACTAATTCAATTACATATAGGGTTTCTTTGAAGATGTACTAACTACATTCCCAAAGCATCTCTGGCATGAAATCGAATCAAAACCAAGATGATCAATCTAGTGAATGCAACAAACCACATCTTCAGGATCATTTGGAGGGGTGCTAAATATGTTGCTGTTTATGCAACTAGTACACCATGAATTGACTCCAGGACAAGTATTATTACAACAAGTCTGTGGAACTTATATTTCCTTTGGGGGTGATTCTCTGTCAGTTTCTTTATTGCACTCCTTTACAGATTCAATGCCAGTCAGCTGAACTGGCATTGAATCTATAGTAGGCAAAGCCTTACAAAGACACAAAATCTTGAGGGCTTAAGGATGCATGCTAACCATTTTTCCTTTCATTAACACTAGCAATGAAATGAGGTTCTAATATCCCCTGGTAGGCCCAAAGGCCAACTTTTGTGTTAGTAATATTACCTAGCCCATTTACAAATCTCATAATCAATCTTGTAATATATTGAAGTAACAGAAAGTTCCTCACCCAATCAGCATCCTTTGACCTCTGCAGACTTGGAGCCACACCAACATGACTCCTATCTGCTGTTGATGCTGTCACACGAAGCTTCTGAATACCAGTTTCCAGGAATGGGATGGAGGCACAGGCAACATACACCTTCCCAGCAGAGATTGAATTGGGCCAGGTTACAGAATGACATGTCCTTTGACACAGTCTGGGTACAGGCAAGATTCTTGACGTGAATAACATCCTATCTTCAAAATGATGATGACATCTCAGAGTTTCAAACAAGCAAAGTTCATCTTTATCACAGAAAGTTCTGTCTGGAGTTCAGACTCATGCAGTTGTACATTTGGTTGATGGACTGTGGCAATTTTCCCAATTGCTGAAAAGAAATAGTAATCAGGAAATTACTATTTTTTATTTTTGACATAAGTAGTTATTATACCTAATTAGGAAGCTCAGGCCTAGGCCTGTGTATTCTATATTGATCCACTCTAGAAAATATCTCCCTTTCCATACATTCAGACATTATAGCACCATGAAAATTCCTCACGATAGAAAAATCAAAAGAGACACCACATCATTGATATCTGGCTACAGTGTGAAGAGACAGGTTTAAATATTTTCAGAAGAGCTAAAATTTGCTGTTTTCTCAGCATAGATACTTGTCTCTTCATATCTATAGTTTGCTCTTCATTGGAAGGTGAGAACTGGCAACCCAATAGCTTTCAATTGGGAAAGGGTGTCAGGAATGGGCCCAAAACAAAAAAGCTAGGCATGGAAGGGGGGAGGGGGGGTGTACTGAATATAGCAAGTTACATTTTCTTCAGGTTGCAGTGAGAAGGCAAATCCCCTCAAAAATGTCAACTAATGAAGCCTTTCAAAACTGGTTTTTGAGGTACCTGATTAAGGAAATCGATCATTAAAATATGATAAGAAACAACTGAGAATTATTGCTTCATGAAATCGCCTCCGGGTAATGACTAACCAATACTACACAAAACTAGGACTAGCCCCTAAAATCGAGATTGGTGGGTATAACTAAGCCGGAAAGATTTCCAAAAGAAGGTAGATCTCCGTTCCTTGCCCCGGACAAAGCCATATGCTAATGCTGGCGGCAAACTCATGCAGAGTTCCCTCCGAAAAGAGGGTCCGGGAAGCAATGAGCGCGGCAGTGGATGACTGAGCCCACGAGCCTGAACGGCGCCATGTTTACTATGGCGCGCGCGAGGTGACCGCATGACAGCATCGTGGTTTCCACTGAGTCTAAGCTTGTCCTAAGACTATGATCGGTCTTTTTGCCCGAAAGTCTCTCTTTTAATAGTAAGCCGAATGCCTAGTCGTTTTAACTGCACAAAATTCAGTCAGTGCGACAAGCTACCACCTGAGCATACCGATTTTTAAAGTAAACGTGTTACTCAAGTAAAACATCTAACAAGAGACCAGCATTCCTGAACTGAAACTGTGCCTTAAATGTATGGCATGGAATCACCGCAAGGCCAGGTTCACTTACATAACTTTGTCTGCCCTATAAGAATGAGATACATTGCTCTCTAACTGGAGTTCCTTCATCTCCCTCCAACATGCCAACCTTCAGTTGACCAAGGCCTGCTGTTGAGCCTTCAACAGTGTTTTCGGCTTGAATTCACACCCCCCCGTAGGAGCTCTTTCATCGATTGCAGACAGAGATACCTTCCAGATGTGTGGTTTTGTGGACTTTCTCATGAATGAGGTCTCCTGAAAATAGTTATTTCTTGAAGAATTTACTCATCTTTATTAGGGTGCTGATGTTGCTAAATCCACTGTAACTTTAAGCCAAAGCTTGACTATGGTATCATATTGTTCCTAGTATACTGTTCTTTGCTGCACCATCTTGTTCTTCTTATGAGGTGTCTCAGGATGGAGAGGCTGGAGCGGAAAACTGAAAAGGATGAAGAAGAGCTTGAGAAAAGAATAGCCCGGATCAGGCAACAGAATGAAGAAATTTTGCGGCGGCAGAAGGTAAAGGCTGTGATAGAAGCTCATGTATTTATAACTTTTTTTAGTTTCATTATGTAACAAAGTATTCAGATGGCCTGTTTAAAGGGCCTATGAATAAGAATGTCACCAAGGACTTCAGATTGTTTATGGAGCTCAATGTAAAATAACAGATTGAGATTAATATTTATTTCTATCTTGTAAAAAGGTGCTTGCAATTGGCTAGTTAATATGAAAACTCTGTATTTATTGCCTGACATGATTATGTCAAGTGGTTCTGTGGGTGCCATAATCTGGAGTCAGCAACATCCTTGAAAAAGTGCTTGATCAGAATAAGAGTCAGAAAAAAGTATGCTTTTTCATTAGTCTTTCACTTGCACTTTTTTAAATCTAATGTTATACACAATCTTGGAAGTACTGTATTGAACATAGCAAATCTGAGATTGTGTACCTTAATATGGTTTATCTATCTGTATTTATTTTGCCCCAGGCCTGTGATGAACAAATTGAATTTGAAGTTGAGTATCTCAACTGCATTCCTGTTAACCAAAGCTGTTCAGGCATGTATAGTAGTTTTCATATGTTCTGTTTAAAATGTTCCTTTCTTTGTGAATTCTAGGAGATAGAGGAAGACAAGAAAAGGGCTGCGGACATTGTGGATGAGGGGATATTAGATTATGTGCCAGAAGAACGTCACAAACCTCGTGTTCCTCGTGAGAAAAAGAGCTGGCCTCCGATGCACAACCATTCGGGCCGAGAAAAGCCACATGAAGATGAAAGCACTGGATATGGATCTTCTAAGTTGAGACCTGTAGGTGCTGGTAAATATGGAAATGCCTTGTAGCATGTGTAGGCCAGGCCACAGTTTGTCATTCAGGGTAGTATTGTGTTATTGGTTTGATTGACAATTATACATTTCTTCCAAGATGTTTGCATTAATGATTTAAGCTCAGAGAAGTTGTGATACCTATGAGCAGCTGAATGAAGGCATTCATTGCCCTATATAGTAGATATTCTTTTACTGTAACTGGACAAGTAAGAGCTTCATTTTTTAAATGTTCAGGGAGTCAGTCTTGTTTTTTAAATAAGGTTAGTTCTTAGGTATTTCATTTTTATTTAGGTAAAGAAAGTCTTTATGAGCACATTGAAGACTTAAAGAGTTTATTTGGAAAAATAACCACAATTTCCTGATATTTTACAGTTATTTACAATTAACCACATTATTAGAAAAAGCATGGATTTTTATTTATGCTGAACATAGTCTTGCATTGCATACACATTAGAATATGATAAAAAAAAAAAAAATTGTTCTTCAAGATCCATATGCAGCACTTGGATGGACAACCGCAACTTTCTCCGTGACCCAAATTATGTTACTAACCTATTGCTAAGTAATTTAATTTGGGATTGATGTAGCTTTCTGACCAAGTAAAGGCAATAAGACTGCAGGGAAAATATTGAGACCCAAGTGGTTTAAAAAAGTAATTGAGGTCTGAGTGGATGCTGTTGGAAAAAGCAATGAATATCTTAAGAGAAAGTTTCTCACTTCTGTTTGGAATGGTTGCTAAAATGTGATGGATTCTTCAATGATGGTTTGGAATGATGCTCAAACTCTGAGAGCTGATATCTTGATGGTTATTTTCTGTTCCTAAGGTGCTTTTTTATCCTGCAAAGTCACATATGACTAAATGTAAATGACAATAAATATTTAACCATTTTAATCAGTTTTCCCTGATTTGGATGAATTATGTCATGGTTTTGGAGTTTCTGATTCTCAAATATGATAATATTTCCTTTTCCTTCAATTTCATGTATTGCAGGGAGACTTGCCTCCACCTGACCCACCCAACTGGCTCCACAATGATCCTGACAGAGAAGGGGACACATTTCAAGGGTCAAAGCGAAATGTGCGGTCACAAATGGACAATGATACATCATGGCCTCCAAACAGTCGAAATAACAAGGTAGAATTTTTATTCCTCTCCTGGTCCAAGTTTGTTCACTCTACCCCTTTTGTGGGAATGAGAAAAGAATGAGCATATCCTTGCTCTCCATTTGATTGTCAAAAAAAAGGTGACCCACCAAAAATGTGGTAGGTGAATATGTTCTTTGAAATACTTATTATTATGCCAGGGCTGGAAGACAAATATAGAATTCCCTTACAGATAAATAACTGCTGAAATTGCCAATAAACTGGGAAGACATTGCCATCTCCATCACTGTGGGCAGTTTTTGCTGTAAGCACATTCTGTAGCTTTTTCCTCATTCAGAACTGCTGATGATTGTGCATGACCCAATTCATGCACCTAGAAAACACTGACCCATTTTTCCAGTTTTCACTCACCATACTTTTCTCCAGAGAATCTGCCCTTCATATATACACGGTGTTTAAAAAAAACTGCCAAATAATTTTTTAATAATAAAATTGATAGTAAATTTTACTTAGTTGGCCCAATTTTAAAACTTCACATGTGAATAGATTTGAGAAGGTTTGTGCTGAATTTGAAGGAAATTTATTCATTTTGTAATATGCTGCACCAGTTTAAACTTGAAGGATAAAGAATATTCCAGCTACCCCTGCTGATGTGTCTGCCACAGCCAGTGCAGGGAGCTCTTGAAGAGGTGGGAGCACTTGTTTTAAGCCAAGAGAATAATCCACACAGGCCACTGAATATAAAGGAAGATATCTGGAGCCACTGGTATATCCATTTCAACAGTCCACCAAATCATCAAGAACAATCTCATTAAAATTAGAATTAAAAACCTCATTTACTACAGAGTGGGGTCACTTAGAGCGGAGCATCATCAATGGGACAATTGTCATGCGAACATCAGCTGTATGCTTGTGTTCAAGAGCACAGGAGCCACTTTTTTCATTAGCCATGACTGAAGGTATGGATATCTTTCAAATACAGCAATAACCTCCTATCTTTCCACATTCAATTTTCTAAAAAAAAATTGGGTCAATCCAATAAAATATACTTTTATCAGTTATCATCAAAATCCAAGTGGTGCAGTTTTTTTTAAACACCATGTGGAATGATTAGGCTCTCATTACTAGCACCCTAATGCTTAGCATGTAAAGAATTGTTTTCCCTAACATACTGATGTAGTTCTTATACACTTCCCACAAATTAAGTGACTTTATTATCGATGCTCCCTGAGTCTGAGGAATTGAGACTCCGAGACCATGGCTCTTAATGCACTCTTTTTTTTAGCATAGCCATCCCATTGCTTTCTATTCCAACTTGTCACTTTAGCACCACTTTGTCCTGGTCACTTTTGATGCAAGTAAGAAAAATGAACTCTAGCAAAAGCATTACTTCTGGTGCCCACCAATACATTGGACTGAAAATTTTGCTACAGTCATTGTATCTGACTCTTGTCTTCCTGGATCAGGAGCAGAAGGCCACATGGGGCGAGAAAGTTGAAGGGGATGGTGACCATAGGTATTCATCTTCGCGAAGTGCAGGGAAGCAGATGCGCCAAGATCCTCAGAGGAAGGTCAGAAAGGCCTAATTTTGATAAGAATTTGCTTCTATCTAATAATGCTTCTATCCTTTTCTGTGTCCATTGTCCATATTCTCATTGAAACAGAAATATGAAAGAAATACCCATAATAAGCAATCGGAAGAACGATGGAGGGAAGAGAGGCGCCGAGTGGACGAAGAGAGGATTCAGCGTCAGAAACTACCTGATGGTAGTTGGAAAAGAGAATGGGACTTGCAGAAAGATGCATCATCCAGGTTAAATCCTCTATGGCTTATTCATAAACTTCTGGTAACAACATTGAGTAATTTTTGAGATGTCATAGAAATAATGGTTTTTTCTTTTTAGGAAAGACCATGTTTCATCTCCAAGAGAGGAAGGTGAGCATAGATGTTGAGGATCATATGTAACTGATACTGTATAATATGCAGGTGTATATGGAATGGTGATGACTTATGCTGTCAGCCATAGTGCCCTTCATCCTTTGATGACTGTTAGAAGCTTTGGTTGTTTGGCTAACCTTTCCATTTTTTGGTGGAACAGTTCAGGATAGGCAGAGTATTCCAAGTTGTTCTCTCTCATAAAAGATTAATGTGGTTCTTTTCTTAGGCCAGAAGGAAATGGTATTCTTCAAGAAATCTGGAAGGCAGCAGGAGCAAAGAAAAGGATTAGGAAGAGGAAAAGGCCAGAGTCAAGGGATGAGTGGAGGAAGTGAATCATTTGGTAAGACTCTCTTTTGGTTTGTAAGTGCTATAAGAATGAGATCATTTTGGGTTAGTACCAGTGCACATTGGCTTTTTTTCCTCCAGATAATATGATTGATGCTAAGAATCGCAGTGTTATTTCATCTGGCGAGTCTCTTATCATCACAGTTCAAAAAGGTTCAAGCAGCTTGGGAGCTAAGGATTCACCCAAGAAAAAAGATGCAGAAGAACAAGGTCTGATTAAAAAACCAAATTTTGCCTGAAAATATTGGTTAGAATTACTCCTAGTAATTCTATCAGTTCTATTGGGAGAATTACATTTAAGATACCTCCAGTGAGTGCTGATGTGCATTATGTTAGGAAGAAGAAAAGATCTTTGAGGAATCTCAATTGCATCAGCAGCTAAGAGTTATTTTTCTTTCATCATACTATCCTTCGACTTTCATTACTCAGCCAACCCTCTATCCATGGCAAGTTGTTGCTTTTAAGCTGTCATCCTTATGGATGATAGTTAAAAAGGGGACATTATTTTCAATAATTTTTCATTCCAATAAGGAAGATCAGAAGCCTTTGAAACAGTAGCCTCTTCATAGTTCAAAAAATTTGACAGAGAAAACTGCTTTCACAGCTGCTGGAGTTGAAGAAACCCTCAGAGCAAATGTTGCATCAAGTCAGCAGGAAGAACAATTGGAAATCAAGGGGAACAAATCTTTGCCACTGCCACAAAGGAATAAACGCAAAGAAACCCATGGGAGCTCTTCTGCCGTTGAAGACACCAAAGCAGAAAATCAGGAGGGAGAAGATGATCAGTGGGAAGACATTGATGATGGAGGCGAATGGGAAGATGTCGATGATGACGGGATCGAGCTCTCTGCATCATCAAAAAGCGACGTGAAAGATGTGGACTGTCTTTCCACATTGGTCTACGAACATTCATCCTAAATTTGAATCCTCCCTTGAGGTATTTTCTTCATCCTTTTTGGGACAGCAAGAGTTCTTGAATGTGTGCTTTGTTGCAGCAAGCTGGATTCAGTAGTTTGAATGATATTGCAGCTGGCTGCTTGTGAGTCTTTTTGATGCAAATGTCCCTTTTTGCCAGCACATAAGTGGTAAATCCCTTTGTAGTTCTTTATAAGTGTCGCTTGGGATCACTGTTCATTTCCCTCGTGTTGTTGCACAGGACTTTTTTTTTGTACTTTATCATCAGTGATAAGTCTTGAACTCTAGAAAAATTTTCTTGGTGGCAGTACTCTATGGAACTCATGTCTTCCATGAAAAGTAGACCTTGATCTCATTTCAAAGCACCTGAAATACCCTTGATCTGTTTTGTGAGGCTCACAAGGACAATATGGGCATTTTTCCATTTCTTCCTCTCCTCACCCCATACTTGAATGTATCATGGATATTGAACTTCAGGTGTAGTCACCCTTTTTGTATGTTATTGGCTGGGTTTCATATGTTAAAGTTAGTGGCATTCAGCTCTTAAACAGGAAAATATGTGTGTATGCCAGCCAAGTTATTCAAATCACCCCATGACATTCCCAGTGCTATTATATTGCTTCTTTTTCAAATATTTGGCTACATCATATCAGGTGTTCTGTTTCTGTTTCTGTCAGTTGGTCAATCCATTCTCCCNCTTCTTTTTCAAATATTTGGCTACATCATATCAGGTGTTCTGTTTCTGTTTCTGTCAGTTGGTCAATCCATTCTCCCATCAGTGGATTTCAAGAAGCTCAGGAGATGAAACTAACCATAGACACTGTAGGTGTCACATGCATCAGACTTTAAAATTGTCTGGTGCCATGTCCACTGAATGAGATTGTGAATACGATATCAAATCAGGGATAGATTTGGTACAAGTCAGCCTACGTTCATCGAATGTGGGAAGCCCTATGGATTGTTTTCTTGTTATAATATATCTGTCTTGTTTCGTTATGATTTGATTGTTTGTGGGACGCAGTTCCCAAGTGCTTGCCAAGAAGGAAAATACACCTTTCTCCATAAGATTCCATTGTCTTTATTGATTTTGAAGCTAGTTCTTCACGGACTGCCAGATAAGGAAGTCGTTTAGCTGCAGGGATTTGGTGTCAAATCAACACTGTTGACTTCTGCATTGCTCAGCTGCTCCCTGTCTGTCATGGTAAACATGTTATGACCTTGGACAGAATGTTTTTTCCTCGATTTTTTCATGAAAATTTTTTTTGCTAGCGTTTGCTAGCACAGCCATACGTGTTGCAAGAATGGAAAAAGAGTGTGTTGGAGCGGAGGGGAGTGGGGTGAGGGCACGGCAAGGGGGGTACGTGCCCCTCCCCCTCCCGACGCGACGTCGCGGAGTACAGCGTCGAGATTTGATACTATTATTTATTCCTTCGCTCTTGTAGGGCCCAAAGGCCCATCGAATCCGTCACGCGAAGTTAGATATATACAAATACGCGCACGCGGAAAACATTAAATAAAAGTAAACCGGAAATTCACGGAACTGGACAAAACCCACAAAACCCGTACATATTTGCACACGCACGCAGCAAAACAAAAGAGAGTATGAAATAAAGAAACGAGGATTGAAAGAGAAAACAAGCAAGAAAAAGGACAACTTAAAGATGAGTCCCGTTCCGGCGATCGCCCTCCCATTCATTCATGTACGTAAATGACGGTAGAGAGAGAGAGAGACGTTTCCTATCCGCAAGACGGGAAGCCTCTCGTGGATGGAGAGCGCTACATTTTATTTATTTCATTTTATTTTATTTTTTATTCAAATGTATTGTGCATGACATCTACAAACCGAAAGCAAAGATGCGACCTAAATTTCAAATAACACTGGAAACTCTCCACATTCAAACTGCTCCCTTTAAATTGTTGACAATATATAAAATGTTTCGCATACAACATGAGAGCATTCAACACATAAATTTTCGACTTCAAAAGACCAGATAACACA